AGCGGGGGCGGATTGTCCAGCGTCCCCAGAGGTTCCAATAAACTTAATTAATTCAAAGTATAAAAGGAAAAGTTCGTTTCTTATGTAACTAGTCAGTTACTGTCAAGTAAGCAGTGAATACTAATAAATATAACTGACTCGAAGATTCCGAAGCCGCAAGTTTTGTCTTATATGGGCCCGAACAAATACATTTTCTGTAAGACCAAAACTCTTCATGATCTGTACACGCAAAAATAACTTGAAATAAACTGATAATCAGTATTGTACAGATAAAAGCAGGTATAGTATAACTTCAATTAAGAAACCTTTCAATTTGGGACAGTTTTTTGATTGGTTACCCCCAAAGACGCAAGGCATTATGGGGATGTAAAAAGTCGAGAATAGAAGCATTTAGATTAAGCACTAAATCCATGAAATATAATCTAAACTGTCATTTCAACTATTGGTATATCATGAATGCTGCGTTCTGATTGGATATGTTCGCGCTCGAAGACTAATTGCTAAATATCTTCACATTTGAAGATATCGACAGGGCAGCAGAAAAACGGTTTTTGGCCTTTCTCCATAAGGACAGCTTTACGTATTTAAACTCAATGTTTTGTAAACACGTTTTTTTGGAGCTAAATAGCACAATATCAAATAAAGCCGTGTACTTTGGGAGAGGTGATATTTTGATCAGCAGAAAAACTGACATTTTCGTGAATACTGAGGCAGGATTTACTCTATGCTTGACTCCAATTTGTTAACAATAAATTATTCATTCCCAGGATGACGAGTATTGAATTGAAATAAGAAAATCCTTACTTCCTTCAAAGCTGACAAGTTTTCGATCATCTTAAATTGATTCCATTTTTATTTCCATTCAAATTCTGCCGCATAGTTGCTTTCATTCCGAAAATCTCATTTATTGCGGTTTTCCATATTGTGCAAACTCGGTAGTTGCAAGCTGCACGCTGAAACTTGGTTTTTCGCTGCCGTACTATCAAAAATTATCAGTCGGTGACACGAGTGAAAAACGTCTGCGCATGCTCTGAATCCTTAAATTAGTCAAAACATATGTAAATTTGGCTTTCAAACATGACTGATAAATTGGGCTTCACAAAATGCCAAAACTTAGTGTCCATGCTTGAAACTTAAGGGTAATTCTTTCATATTGTGTTTGTTAATACAGTATCTTGGTCTGACAAAAGTATACTCGCGAAATTTTTTGTATACTTGGAGAAAACAAACATTTATTTTCTCACTCAATCTCTTCAAAATTCTTAGAAAACGTGCTGAAGTGCACGCATGCGCAAACGTTTTTCCCTGGTGTCTCAGTCGGTACCTTGTTTGTTCTTGACTGGTGGTAGTGAGGAAAAAAAAACACTTTCACAACAAGCCGTTTGATTGTCTGATTGTCTGAGTTCTCAGAATATATAAACCGCAGTAACAAAAGAAACGAGCAGCTTCATGCTATCGGTCCGATCCATTTTCAGCTCTGGAGCCCCGTGCACTAACCAGATGGGATTGCCATAAATTTGCTCGTAAAGCATATGATATGGGTATCAGATACATCGGAGGATGTTGTGGATTTGAGCCTTACCATATCAGGGCCCTGGCTGAAGAGGTATGTCCGAATAAGCTCTGGTTTTTATTAGGCCATTAGAAAATTCACGACTGTGTTGATCTCCAGTCCATGCCAAGGGGAAAGGAAGGTTTGATTGATTCTTATTTAGTACATAGTTTGTTATTTATACAGCTATTTCAGGCTGAACGCTGAATATTGCATACTGAATAGTGAATTCCAAGACGGAAGTGCATTGTGGGTCATAGTGACATTGTCTAAATTAGGATTAATAATTATTTATTCTATTTTTAGTGTATTCCATCTGAAACAATATACTAACTACATGTAGAGAGTTAATTGCTGTATATTTACTTTTATTTCAAATTAACGAGACACAATGCCATTTGGTCTTGGAATGCACTATTCAGTATGCAGTATTCAGCCCTTTTGGAAATAGCTCTATCCTTTTTATCTTAATTTTACAATAGATCATTCCCGAATAGACAGTTTTCTTAAGGGAGCGTGCGCATCCAACTAGACGGGTCACAAAACAGAAAAACRTAAATTCAGTAAAATTGAGAAGACACCTTTTATATTCAAAGAGTAGAATAATCGATCTTATGAATTCTTATCGAAAAATCTCATAGAAATGCATGATGATGCTCATCAAAGCTCGTGTTCTGGTATCGTGGCCCGTCAAGCTTCTTAAATTTGGACGCGCACTTAACCTTGGGAAAACGGTTTATCAGTCAAATACCGATGTGCTCCATTACGGACTCATTTACTAAGGGGTTAGTACAACTTCAACAGTAAACATTTATTGATAATGATTAAAACAATAAAAGGGGAAGATGCATTTTTTTGTTTCTTTTTGGTCCCAATCAGTGAATCAATACTAGTGAAATCACTAGAGTGGTTACAGCTATTTCCATAAACATGCGACCTCGGTGCTCTGAGTTGCACGCCGAAACTTGGATTTGCGCTGCCGCCAGTCAAAACTGTGAAAGTTACCGACTGATTAGGTTTGATTGACGGCAGCGAAATACCAAATTTCAGCGTGCAACTCAGAGCACCGAGGTCGCGTGTTTATGAAAATAGCTGTAAGGGGACTGGCTACTTTTGGAAAACATTTTAAACTGCATTTTTCGTAATTGAAATTTAATGCTCATTCCAAATATGAAAAGAAAAATGAGGTGTCCCGAGCTTGTTTTCGAGGTAATCAGCATTTAATGGATACCTACGGGCGAACTTTTGGAGCAAAACTTGCGCCATCGGAAGTGACCTGAAAAAGTTTAAGATTTATGAGATAACAGTTCTTTGCAGACTCAGTGATTGCGCGAATGACGGCTAGTGAATCATTCTACAATAATACGTGGATATTTTTGACAAAAAGAAAAAGAAAAAAATTGATTTGTCATATGTTTTCGTTTCAGTGCTCTCAAAAACTCTCATAAAATCGAACAAAAATTCCTACAAAAATCTATTTTTTCATGTGCGTTACAAAAATTAACTTTTTCTAAAAAATCAATTCTTGGCTTTCACCCACGTGACACCGGTCTTGACAACGGTTGCTATCCGCCATCTTTGTGCCCCTCGATAGTAAACAAACAGACGCGACAGAGAGATATGTGTGAACTTTTCACTGAACATGGTGCATTGTATCGTAGTTGGTTGCGGTTCAAAGAGCGGTA